TCACAGAACTATTCTGTATTGTGCGAGGGTGCTAGAGTAGCTCACAGAACTATTCTGTATTGTGCGAGGCTGCTACAGAACCTCACAGAACTATTCTGTATTGTGCGAGGGTGCNATTGTGCGAGGGTGCCACAGAACCTCACAGAACTATTCTGTATCGTACGAGGGTGCTACAGAACCCACAGAACTATTCTGTAGGGTAATTACAGACGGTAATTACCCCCGGTACAGATCTGTGAGTACCCTACAGAACACACCCGTTTCAAAAAGCATATCGTGGTGTTGACGGTTGCCAAGCATGCTTCGAGCATGGATAGTCTAGTCTACCAATTGTTGTCTACACACTCTTACGAAGGGATATATTTAAAAATTGACGAAGACCAATCATCATCAATCACGCACAGCGAACACAGCACCATCATTCACGGTCAGATGGAAACATGTTGATTCTTCTAGAAAAAAAGTGAACCGCCGTAGATGACACGTCATGTCGACCAGGGATTTTTGGCCAATCTGAAAAAGATAAAAATCTCCTTTCGACAAAATTGACCAATAATCAGAAAACTGCGGGCACCTTTTCTCTATTCAGCAAGTCTCCAGGAGCTTTTTTTCCTCTATCCATGGTGGCGTACCCCTCTGTCTTCTTTCTGTGTGCTTCGAAAGCCAACAGACTACTGGAGTCGAATCCTTGTACGTGTCTACGCATACTTCAGCTGCATGCACTGCTGTACATGTTGTACTGGCGGACAGACTTCGCTGTGAACCCGAGAGCACCGTCTGCAACACCAGATCACCACGAACGATGCCCAAACACTTTATTTTCCCCTCCAGCATCCCACAATTCCTCTACTGTAATCACCCCGCCAAGTTTCCTGCTGCTGCCGGGACATCGGGAATAGAAGTACTGCTGTAGTATGCATACAAAATGTCACAAAATAGACTTCGTAAGTCGCGAGGGAAGGGATTGATTGCTGTACCCTTCTCGCGAAAAAAATACCTCAGGCAGGAACCGCAGGAGGGGGTCCAGCCTCCCCCTCCTATGTGACCCCGGTTGGGTCGTCTAGCTAGTAGAAGTGGAGGATAGGGGCCAGAGGGGCAGACGACAGAATCCGATGATGGGAGAGAAAAAAAAAATCCACTACTGTTATTCATGATTATCTATTCATGAAGACGCCCAAATTAAATTTTGGGCTCATAAAAGGACCACCCCCCCAAATCCAATCCGGAAATAATCATAAGGCGGTTTCTTACGGTTTGTGAAATTCCAGTTGAAAAACTGAAATTTTCGATTCCCAGATCCAACTCGAAAAATCTCACTCAAAAACAGAGCAGCCTTCTTACGGATCGATGGAATTGGAAACGCTAAAAACAGGGGGGAGGGGGGGTTCACAATTAATTACACCCTCGCCAGACGACGCAACATCATGCCGCTAGTCAAACCACGCAACATCATGCCGCTAGTGGAACCACTGCTGCTTCAAGGCGCGAACAACTACTACTACTGCTGTACTCCCATGCGCTTCTGCTGCTCCCACCAGGCAAAGGTACGTCAATCCCTCCGCTGCGTGACGCATCGTGTCCTCTTAACCTTCGGGCCGACGACTTCCTCCTCGTCCTCCGAATCCTCGTCGAACAGCACAGCATCCCAATAGGATACCGAGCGTGCTGTGCGCCGGCGACCATCCTCCTCTTCTTGGATCTGGTGCAAAGCCGCCAACGCGACTGACAGCACTGTTGCTTCCAACAGATCGTCGCCGGTCCCCATATCGGGCGCACCGCGCTGACAACAAAGCACCGGGTCTGCGCGTGTGAGGCGCTGTGCTAGGCTGTCACGCGCTTTGCTGTGCTGTGCTTTGCTGTGCTGCTTTCTTTGTGGTGCGCTGTTGTGCACTGTCGGGTGCTTCCAGCGACCAAAGCAGGTGTGGTGGGGGGACTGTGCGATGCATCCCCCCCCACTAGGTTTGGATTTCCAACTAGCTTTTTCAACTCGGTCGCGACTTGAAAATTTCTGAAAGTTTCAACTGCGCAGAGCATTGTTTTTTGGCCCTAAACGAAAATTTATTTCTCGTAAAGATCGATTTTCCAAACCGTAAGAAGCTCTGTTCGGCTGGGAATTTCAAATTTCAAATTTTCAACTGGGATTTTTCAAACCGTAAGAAACCGCCTAATAAAACTCAGATTTGTTTTTGTACGTCTGGCTGTCTGCCCATCTGCCGCCTCTTTGTCCTGTTTGCTCCGTTCCTCCCATACCCTGGTGCGTAGTGCCTGGTGCTGGTACGTTGTTGTTGTTGTTGACTTCACATTAAACCGTATGCCAGTTGCTAAATGCCAAAATCTAGCAAAGACTCTCGGCCCGTGGTCACGAAAGTGCTAGAGCCATCTGAGGATCTAAAGAACACGCACACGTAGCAAGAAAAAGGTGTACAAGAGCCCGAACGTTACCCTTTGATTTTTTCTTTGGGCGGGTGTGGGAAGCGTCCTCCTTTTTTTTTGTATTTGTTCTATTTTGATCAGTTTCCGAGGGCTCTTTCTCGAGAACGGTCGGTGCGATAACTGTTTGTTCGTTATTGTGTCGCCGCTCCGCAATGTACCCCCCCCGCGACCATTTCCTACTTTCCGTGGTCCCCCTATGAAAGGGATGTTGTTGCGAAACACCGCCGCAGACAACACAACGGGCGCGGTGCTACACAGTAGTACAGCAGTAGCAAGGGTACAGTCACTTCGCCGTGTCAATCTGGTCCCGCTTCACGGTTGAGATGGAACTTTCTGAGCCGGCGAGGCTTTTGCTGTTAGCATCGCTGCTGGCCAAGGACGGTTTGATTTCGCACAATGGTGAGTGTGTGCAAGTATCTTCGACAGCTTGTGTCGGAGGGTAGACTACAACAGTACCCCCAGACAACCGCACTGGCACCTCTTTGCACAAGATGGTAGCCCACACCCAGCGGATAGGCGGGTGAGACCGCACTTCCTGTTCTTCTGTGGCAAAAGAGGGAGAACAGCATGATCGGGACTACTCCTGCAACTAGGGAAATAGGGACGGTGAAAAAAAAAACCTGGCTTGCGGTCTGCTGTGCACTGAAGATCGATCTTTCACCAGGGTACGTCACCAGTTGCAACCTTAAGTTACACAAGATGACACGCCCCCTGGACCGATTTTCACATCTCTTTTTCTCAACAGCAGAAAGAGTCACAGCGTCGTGAACGGTGGCATTGAAGCTGTCCCGTCGAGAGCTTTCCAAAAATGTGTTGCTTCATTTCTGGATTCGTCGTGGCGTAATCGAGCTTGTATTTTTGGTCCAGGGGGTGTGTTATCTTGTGCCATGTGCTGTACCAATATGCTTAGATCCACATGCCCACCTTCTCGGCAGTCAACGTCGAGCTTCAGCCGTACCAGGGTGACGAGTCATCTCGTTACTGCCTCATTTACTTGCCCCAGCAGTAGCAGCAGAGCTCTTCGAGCCTCGTAAAACGGCCGATGTTGCGACGGGCATTTCAGCCCGTGCCTACATGCAACTACTTCTGTACCGCCTCCAAGATGGTTCCGTTTGGGTATGTGCTACTTCTTATATGATACGGGTAAAATGTAAGATAGGCTGCAGACATTGCGTTGTACCAGCTTACGAAGTCAAGCAAGGTGCGGCCGCTTGTGCCTTCGCCCGTACTCGACCGTAGCCCCGCCTGTAAGCGATCCCGGGTACTTCATAAGGTAGCATATTTGCCCTGGGCGCGCCGAACAGACGAAACATGTCGTGCTACACGTGCCAGCAGACGTACCAGGTAGGGTGACACGTGTATCCCGTGTCCCAAAACGTATGATTTCCACCCTGCTCGTGCGGAAGGCTTTCGGCTCGAGATCTCGATCGAAGGACTGCTCCGTTAGTGTACTGGCTTCTAACTAGGCTCGAAATATGTCCGGTAGACTATACAGCAGTCTTTTCTCGTTTTCCAATACCCTCACGACTTCATAACGATTGGGGCTTAAAGTCGAACGGGTGGTAGCTGCTGCGATTGGAAGAACTTGTTTCTAAACTCCTACCACTGACAGCAGTAACGGAATTCAATGCCCGCCTCACTCGGAACACAAATGCAACCTCGAAGCAGTTGTATTCGCTGCCGCGCAACCCTTGACGTAGCGAAGGCGACCAAGAAGAAAGTGGTCGCTGAGATGGTGGCAGAAATGGAGACAGAGGCGTACCGATGGCGCCCGTACTCACGAACATCTATTTTTTGCCGAGTTTGGGGTTGTTTGTTTCCTAGGGTTGTGCTACGAATGGACGCTATATAGGTTTAGTGTAGGGGTCCTTAACCGAGAACTCACAAATGGTGCGCAAGTCCTCAGATTTGTGTTTTTTCGAGGCTCCATTCCCAACCGGCCAACTTTGTGAGTGCGAAGCTGGTGAACATATGACCCTGAAGTATGAATTTCGGAAGGCGCTTAGCTCAATATCCCGATCGGAACATCTCGTCCTTCGGTGTTTAGGCTTTTGAACAGTCGTGTCTGAGATGGAGAAATGGAGGCAGCGGTGTGTCTCGGTACCTCGGACCTGAACACCGCGCGCGCCGGCCGCCTCCGCAGCACATATCGTCGCTGCAGCCCACAAAGTTCACAAGAGACAGAAATCAAGCTTGAGGTCTCGCGTTGCTTGTTGTTCATGTCAATGCATAGTACAACAAAGCAGTAGTCAACCACTGCGGTCAGTTGGTGGTAAACGATGCGGGTGTATTCGTTCTGTTTCGCAGGCAACCGGACGCGCGAAGATTCAAGTACGTCCCTTTATTCCATAGGTACTATTTTTCAGACGTGCTAACCGTCCAGACGCACGTATGATACCCAAAGCCAATTTTCACAATCGGAAACGCCTGTATCCGTGTAGTCCCCCAACCCCCTCCCCCCACTCCACCTTGCCCCCCCAGCCGGGTTTTCGTCGCTTGGCGACGACGTTGTAAAACAAGCCGATCCCCCCCCCATTGGGGTTTGCCATCGGGGTTTGGGTGTTCGTCGCTTGGCAACGACGTTGAAAAACAAGCCCCCCCCCGGTGTACCCCCACCATCGGTGTTTGCCATCGGGGTTGGGTTTTCGTCGCTTGGCAACGACGTTGTAAAACAAGCCAACTAACTCTCTCCGCGAGCTTGGCAACCAGGTTACCGGGTTTTTTTTTTCCTGTTTTATTTTTGGCGGTAACCATAATGGTGGTCGAGTAGATCATGTTGTGCGGGG